GAGAGGTAGGGACCTAGTGGAGTGAGTTAAGGGAAGGACCATGAGGATGATTAAGAGCTTGGAACATCTGTCACATGAAGTAAGACTGAGAGAGGAGGGACTGTTTAGCTTGGAGAAGAGAAGGCTTAGGGGGATCTTATCTGTATGGATAGATACCTGACGGTCAGGAGGGATTGGGGGCGCTTAAGAAGATGAAGCCATACTCTTCTCGGTGCTATTTAGTGAAAGGACAAGAAGGAATGGGCACAAATTGAAATACAAGAAATTCCATTTGAACATAAAAACATTTTTAATGGAAGGGTGTAACAGGTTGCCCAGGAAGGCTGTGGATTTTCCATCCTTGGAGACTAAAACAAAAACAAAGGAAAAAAGGGGGAAAAGGAAAGAAAAAAAGATAAAATATTACCTTTTCAATTATAGAGTCAGTTATGTTATTCAGATTATGTTATTTCATAGATAGCAGTTAACTTATCTTCTTTTGTTTATGTTCATTTAAAGGGATCTTTATAAAAGATAGGTTGTTAGTTCATGCATAAATGAATCCGTGTAGGTAATCCACTTAGTAATAAGGGAAGACTTGGTAGTATTGTGTTTAGATGATGTATTTTTGTATTTACAATATCGAAGTGTACATTTTTTTCACAGAAAATAAAACTTGAACTCCTGCAGATAAAGAAGCAAGTCATGGTAAGACACTATGTTAATATGGTTAAGAATTAGCTTCTGTCTAGTTTGCTTTAAAAATGATTTCTCTAAGATTTTAAGAGTTGCACTTGGCTATGGCAGTGTTCCAGGATTCTAGGCCTGGAAGCGATGCTGCACTAGGGACTGCAGCAAAGAATTTGCATACCTAATTAATGGTGCAAGAGCACTAAGCTCTATTAATGATGAATAAACTTTAACTGAAGATGTTCTGTGTCTTAAATGTTGTTAATTCAGATTCAGAAAGTGTCTGGTTGCCATGTCATAGCTAGGGCTGAGTGAAGTTCTGCATTTAAGGCTGCTTATTAATGTAAAAATATAAGGTATTTTCAAAATTACATCACTTACTAGTTGATCGTGGTACTAGTTGGTTTGCCCTGAAGACTTAGCTGTCCAAGATTTTTTAAAAAAAAAAAATTAGAAGCTATTTTAAGAATTTTGGCCCCATTTGTTTGTGAGCAAATGACCTTAGGAGGAAAAGAGACCCCTTGAGAAAACTGCAGGTTCCTATTAGGTTTAATATCTGCTGTTTTGTTTCTGGTCTTTGTGGTTTGCCTCTCCTGAAATAATAGATCAAACAGACCTCTCTGCCATCAGAAACAACATTGTCTCAAAACCTATTCCTTCATTGGGTGTGTAGTCATAAGCAGCCTTTACACAGAAAGAAAAAATGTTTTAAAAGCATTTGGTTAAGACTGGAAACTAGGAAATACTGTTGACTGTCTATGGGGAGTATAGTCCTCTTACTTGAGAACAGCTGTTTACCATGTCACTGTCACCTAGAAGGGCGATGCCTTTTCCATGCATCTCTAGGGTTGTGGAGTCTCCTTCTCTGGAGATCTTCAAAAGCTGCCTGGATGCCACCCTGTGCCATGTGCTGTAGGTGTCCCTGCTTGAGGAGGGCGATTGGACTAGATAATCTCTAGAGGTCCTTTCCAACCTTAACCATTCTGTGATTCTGTGATCTGTCAAAATACTGATCTGTCCAGCAAACTGACCATGTGATCAAGTTCAACATAGCTTTTTCCTTGCATTTTCTTTCCCAGTGTCTTGTGCTTTTTTTTTTTTTTTCCCCCTCATTGTGCTGTTGTCTCCAAAAGGCGAATGAAGATTTCTCAGGGCTAATCATGTGTTTTGCATTGCCTTATAAAGTGCTTAATGTATTTGTTTTTTTCAAATAAAATTTTAAGAAGCAAGGCATCCAATTTTTAATTTATAACTTATTTTATTGTTTTAGTTGCATTTAGTGTGAGCTGGAGCAATCTAGTGGTAGAACATAAATTTGAGTCATTTTCATATTAAAAACTGGATGTCTTCAAATTTTACTTTTAACTGTGAATATAACTGTCCTTATGATAATTATTTAGTCATACTTGTTCCTTCTTCTAAAAGACAGAATGACACGATGTTGTATGTTTGTTAAAAAGTTATTTCAGATTCTGTAATTTCACTAAATTGTAACATGTCAAGTGTTGCAATGACATGTAATTATAAAATAATTAGGTATAAAAATGTTAAAATAGAAATTCCTTGAATGTAATTATTTTTGTTGGTATCTTGGTGAACTAGCTAACACTGGCCTACTGGAGAGGTGCTTGCTTGTTTTTAATAGGAAAATTTCCTGGAAGACTTATCAATCTTTTCCTTCTCCCACACATTCATCTGATGAGCAGTTTGCCTTATGACAAACTGTCAGCTGCCTGAAATTCCTGCCGGGAGGTTGCATGAAAATGGCAGTTGCTGCTAGGGAAAAAAATAAAATAAAAATGCTGGATTCTGTGATGTCTGTAGATTTTTCTAAGAGCCCTAATTGTGGTCTTTATAAGTACCTTTTTTATTTGCTTTGTTTTTTAATTGGAAAGTTTAGAAAATACTTTTAGAAATTATTCTGAGCATCAAGATTGCTTCATAATGTACAACTCACATATGTAGGTAGGCATAGATTTCTAGAGATCTGAATGAATCATGAGATATATGAAATATTCCTAGCATCCATGGAAATATGTGCTGTCAGTTTAACTTCTGCTCTCAGTGCTCTGGTTTTAAAAGCAATTGTCATTTTCTGATTCTGAGATCCGATTCATCCTGTAAAACATGAGTTATTTCTCTGAAAGAAGTATAGGAATACTTAGTTTGGATGAAAATGCACCTTAATTAGAGAGAAACTTGATTCCTGAGATATGTAATGAAAGGCACATTTTTTTTTCTTATATATTTGCTTATAGTTGAATAGAGAGAAATTTTTGCTTGCTGCTATATCATTTTTGTCCACTAGGATGAAATTACAAAAGTTCGTGCAGATAATAAGTTGAACCTCAACCTAGAGAAGAGCAGAGTAAAAGAACTGGTAAGTTTTGGTGGCATTTTTCTAGAAATATCAAAATATTGAGTAATCTTCAAGCTTGGATAAAAGCGTAAATTTCTTATCTGTAGTATCATTTCTCTTCAAGCTGATCTCAGTCGAAATTGTTTATCCATATGCTGCTTCAGTATAAGGTGTCATGTTTGGTTTTAATACGTTCACATATTTTGATACTCTTTTAATATTGGAATTAATCAGGTACTCTTCAATATATTAGATCTTAATATTTTGAAATGCATGATTTGAAATGCTGACTTGTTATCTGAAGCTTTTCATATTGTATCCGTGTTTTTCACGATGAAACGTAAACATTTCATTAAACTACCACTGTTGAACTATATCTAATTTATAAGGTAATTGTATTGCGAAAATAATTGTAATTGATTTTATTGTAACTGGTATTGAATGAGTTTTTTTTTACTTCCAAATATGTTAGAACTGCCGTAGTGCGATCTTAAATCAGAATAACATAGAAGATAAAGAGATTTTTGCATTATATGTAGCATTCTGTTCCCATAGATCTGCCTTTTAATAACATTTGTCTATGAATTTTATTTCATGTTCAGTCACTTTTCACAGGTGCATAATGAAGTAACAATTATCTTGAATCCAGGTAATAAGAACTATTCAAGTAAAATTCATCTATTTTTTGTACCTGCTCCTGGAGGTTATTCACAATGATTAATTTAGGTAACAGCTGTGTCAGTGGTTTAATATAATGACTTAACACCATTACCTATAGTAAAGTACATTCATTTTTACAAGTTAAAATTTCCTGCAAACATAATAAAAATTAAAAGTGAAAAACCCTTCACATGAAGCATAAGCCCATATGCTGGGTTTGCAAACCCTAGTTAAACCTGTTATGTTACAGGTGATAAATTGGAGGAGAAGGGAGCACTTTTTTTTTTTTTGTATATTTGGATAGAATCTTGGAATCTGGACTCAGGCTGCTGTTCAGAGAACTACTTAATATTGACTGCCTCCTGGGGAAAGCAAACTCTGGGCATGTCCACCTTCTGAAGAAAGTTGACCTACTTTGTGCCATACAACTATAATTCAAGTGTATTTGCGGGGGGAGGCGTTGTTTGTTTTTTTTTTGGGGGGGTGGGTTGCTTCTTTCTTTCCTTAAGTTGCCAGCTTTGTAATGGATGAACAGGAAAAGTGAACATGAACCGTAGCATGTATGTTAAGTTGGGGGAGAGACCTAACCCAGTACTTTGAGTAGTAGTCACAGCATATATAGCATGATAGCATGTTTACTTGGACATAATTGAGACTTTTGACTAATTCTGTGGCTTTCTGAGAATAATACTCTGGATAACTGACAGCCCACTATGCATCTCTTACTAAAATGCTATCAAGAAGTCCTAAGTTTAAATCAACTTAACTTGAAGCACCAAGTTAAATGCTCTTATCCTTCAATCCTGCTTGGAATTGAGTACTGAAGGAAAACTTAGTTCTTCAAGGCTAAAGAGGGCATTTTAAATGTTTTAAGCTGTATACTTTTTATCTATGGAAATTATTCAGAAACTTGATTTTTGGCTAAGAGCATCTATTCCAAGTAACTGATTAACTACTTCATTAAGTTGTTTTAAATCTAATGCTCATTTTGATAGGGATGATCAGTTTCTGTGTTAAGCAAGGTCCCATTCTGATATGAATCTTCACCTCAGACATTTTTAAATTAGATTCTCTTATAGGTATTTTGTTATCACTTTCAAAAAAAAAGTTATTTATGTAAAATGTCTGAATTTCATTTTTCCTTCATTCTGGAGATTCTAGGTACTGGTTTCATTAGTTACGGACATGCTGTTATTTGACTGTACAATATAACATTTTCCACATTTTTAGCCTTCTGCTACCTCTCAGCTTGATCTTTAGATCGGTCAGAAGTCCAAATAGAGCTTTGGATCTTTAAGGAGGGTTTTTCAGTGCTGAGGCATTTATGTTGATTAATCTGAGTTGAATATTAAAGTAGAATAAGCTTCCAGACTGGAGAAAAATAAAGTGACTTTCCAAATGGTAATATCAACAGATGAGGTTACTGCTGGTTAACTAAGGATTCTGAGATGGGAGCCCGATGACCTTAATACTCTGTACTATAGTCTGGTGGTTTAGCAGCTGTCTTATGAATAATTGAATTGCTCCAGTAGTGGGATAGGAGCTGTTACAGATGTCAAGGTAAATCATGCCTGCTCATGAGGCAGCAACATAACCTGCCTTGGAGGTATTGCCTCTTACTGCATTTGGATTTAACTTGCCTTGAGCCCAAATAGCCATAGTTTATAAATAAATCACAGCTGCTGCTGTTCAGTAAATGAATGAGATCATAAGAAGCAAACTTAGTGCATCTGCCTGATACTTGTGTTCCCCATGTATTGTTCTGACCATTATCTCAAAGTTTCAAGTGAAGAACAGATATGCTGCCTAAACATTTCCTTCAAAGCTAGATTTGATATGATATTTTAAAACCCTATGCCCTTACTAAAGACGGGATAGTTTTATCTTGACATCTTTTAATTGTCTTTGTGCACCCAGTGGATTAGTTCACTGTTTCAGAGTTACTATTTAGAATTGCAGGTCTTTGTTTTTCAGAAATATGCATCTGCCAGCTTTTCCTCCAACTGTTTATACATTCATGCAATTGTAGTAGATGTCTCTTGACAGATTTGTTCCACTTTACAGATGGAACTCAGGGATGTGGTTAAATACCTGTCTGTAAATTATCTTTTCCCCAATGATACCAGTCATTCCACAGTACTATCCCTAAACATTGTCAAGAAACCAGTCTTGTTGGCAGATTCAGCATTCTACAGAATTTGGAACTAAAAAACATACACTTTTTCACGTACTTAAACGTGTAAAAGTCATCACCCTCTTTTAATCTTTTTGTTTGTTTGTTTTTAAACAGTATTCACTTAATGAAAGAAAACTACTCGAAATGAGGACAGAAATAGTGGAATTGGTAAGAGCTTGGAAGTTGATTATTAACTCATATAGAAAACCTTCTTGCCTTATAGATCTGTTATTCTTTTCAAAATTGCTCATGTCTTCAGGCACGTAATATCGTACGATGACATTTTATAGATTTATTTCCATGTGTATTTCCATACTGGTAACTGAAGTGTTCTACAAAATAAAAAAGTTTATATATACTTTTAGATTCCTGCAGGATATGCATAAGCTATTCACTGCTCATTTTATTTTGAGGCTTCATGCGTATAGTGTTTTCTCCAGATTGAATTTATTTGTACATTAGTTTTTAAAATTACTGATTTTTTTTCTTTCCATTTTAGTTGAAACTGAAACAAATTGCATGATTGATTTGGCTTCTTTTTACAGGATTTTTGCCAAGTCCTTTCTCTTCCTTTCATTTGAGTCTTTTAGCATAGGAATTATTTGTGGGAAGGTGACTAGCAGTAAATCATTAATTGGTTCAGTGTTTCAATAGTGCTGATCTGAAAGCATCAGCAACACAACAGCTGTTGTTCTCAGTTTATATCGTTGATCTTTCAGTCCTTTCTGAGTAGTTCCATCCCGTTTTGTTCAGAAGCACTGTCTTCTGTCATAATCAGATTCAGTATTTGTCTGTCTGCCTGTTACTATTTTTGTGGTAGAATTTGTTACAAGACGAAGACATGCTGCTTAAGTCAGAAGAGCAATTGTCATATTTCTAATGCTCCGTAAATCTTCATGTTCCGATATATTTCTGTCACAAGAGGCTCTTAGACTTCCTATTCTACAGTAACTGTTAAAACTGAGCAGTGACTTCAATGTGTCGTTTGGCCCACCGATATTCAAGTTAATGATTATGCTGCTAGACTGAGATAAGATGACATCCAGTTCTGCAACTTTGTGGATGATGCGTTAGGGAGAGAGTAATCATATAAATTTGCTGAGTTCGCCAAATTATCCAGTTCCTTGGATATAATCAACCAGGAAGGAACTTGTTAGCTTTGAATGCAAATTAAATACTTCATTAACATACATTTAAGGAGTAGCCAAAACAGAGCTTAAAGGTATAGGTTTAATTTCTAAATAAACTGAAAGCTTTTTAAATGGAGTCATTTTTTGCTTTTTAGCACGCACAACAGGATCGAGCTCTAACACAGACAGACAGAAAAATAGATACAGAAGTTGCAGGTCTGAAGACAATGCTAGAATCGCACAAACTAGACAATATTAAGTACTTAGCAGGTAAGTAATCTGGAAGTAAAGGTGGTTAATTCTGGAGAGAATATTTGTAAAAAGCCAGATTCAAAAAAAAAAAAAAAAAAACACTTCAAATGTCTCCATGCTCCATTAGTAGCATTATCCACGTGCTTAATCCAGGATGAGGTTCTTAACGATTCACAGCTTTATTGGACTTTGAATGCACTTTGTCTGTATGCTTTTTCCCTGCTTTATATTGTACTAAGAAAGGTGTATGGGAAGTCTGAAAGACTTGACTGGCTCTCAGCAAGGGTCAAAAAAATTCTCCCTTAAAATGCCTCTCTTAAAAACACACTATCTGATTACCACAGAACTGCGTTTGAAAAACGTTATCATAAAAGCAGTCTGGTTCCACTGCAAAGTGGGACCTTTCAGCTTTTCTGACTGTTCAGCACCACAAATTCTTAAAGCTGATTCTTCAGGCATGTGCATGAGAAAATACAATATACATTATGTATCTGTATTATTGCTCCAGATAACTTCAGTGTTTTGACATTCTCTGTGTAGCTCTGACTAGTGCATGTGCAGCGCTACCAAGTGAGCAGTTCTAAAATAGAAAATTATCCTTCTAATATAGAGTTTTGATCATCCTTTGACAATGGATTTTGTCGCAAGTACAGTCACATATATTCACAGGCTGCTAGTTCAGAGATATCCTTTACCGAGAAGCATAACTAGAAAATAGAAGATAATATATTAAAAAGAGAAGAAGTTCCATTCCCTACCACCCCAACTGAAAAAAAAAAACACGCTAAGTCTGCACAGAAATTGAGAGGGGAAAATAAAGAAAAAAGAAGAAAAATCTTGCATTGTATTTGAAGTGATCCTGTTGAAAACAATGGGAAAAAAATGTGCGGATATCTGGAAACCAAACATTGAGTTTATTTCAGTAAAAATGTTAAGATTGCAAACTGATAAGCTTCAGTAAAAGACAGTTTATGCTCACTTGATTGTTAAATATTTTACTGTGATCTAATAATCCCACGTTCATTTCTTCACTGTAACTATAACTTGCCATATTGATCTTGTTTAGAAGGATAAGCAACCATGGGATATTTTTTCCAGACTTCTTATAGTCTTTCCAGACCAGTTTTCCTGCACTTTTCTTCCCTCCTCGTCCTTTGTCATTTTAGTGCTACCTGCTCCCCAACCCTCCCAATTGTTTATTTTGTGAATTAAAAATACTTTGTTCTGTGAATAAAACCCCTTATTTTCTGACATGGACAAGAGATAACAGAGCATAGTAGCAAGATGCATGCATAGCTTTCTGAAGAAATGTTCTAACAGCTGACAATTTACAGTCTCTATTTTTTTGCCCCATTTTTGCTTTGTCTTTCAGGTTCAGTATTTACATGCCTTACTGTAGCACTGGGATTTTATCGTTTATGGATGTGATACAGCATCATATTGGACTTCTACTGTCTCGCTCTCTGAAAAGCGAGGAGGTTTTTTCTCTGCTCTTTACTGTTTTATTTATTTTTTGTAAAGCAGACTATATTGAGAATGTGACCAAAGATGTGCCTAGAAACAAATTGTACGTATATCTACATATTTGGAAATTTACCACTGATGGAAGCATGGTATAGGCATTTCTGCTGCTCTCTTCCCCTCTGAACTGAAATGAACAAAGTATCATTTCAGTAAAGACTGGAATTCATACCACTTGTACAGGGCTGCATGATGCTGAGAAGAATCCCCTTGGAATTATGTCCCAGAGTCTCTTCAGATGCTTGTATGTGTCGGAATGGAATCTTGATTCTTAATGTCTAAGTGAAACCACCCTTTGCGTGGCTTGGAGGCACTCTTGTGTAAGTAGGATTTGTGTTAACTGAATCATGCTTACGTTCTTCCTCCTGACACTTGTTCATATACTTACTATGATCAAATATTTGTTTTGCTATTTTTGTAACATTGCAGTCATCAGCTTGTTTTCCAGATGACCGTCCAATCAATCATGTTTCAGGAGAGTACCATGTAATGATAGCAGAGCTTACTGCTATGTTTTGTCTGTAAGATATTTCTAGTGTTCTTCGGAACTTGCCTTTGGTACATTTAAGTATTTAAAACTCATTCCATATGCTAATTGTTAAATTTACCATGATAACCAGAAGTTTGAAATGCAGTACAATGCATTAATTGTGTTGTGTTTTTGCAGTTAAGTGATACAAAATATCTGTGGTGCTGCTATCTTGATAGAAGGGAATTGATATTTCTAAGGAGGATTTAACTGGTGGTTATGAAGCAGTCTTAGATTGGGGAACAGCTATACTGACAGTCTACTGATTTAGAGAAAAAAAAAAAAGGGAAAAAGAAATTCCCCTTGCTTCTTCAAATGGGGAGCCTCATTAGTGGTTATAAAGATGAAAGCAGTAATGGAAAGTATGCTTGCTCTGGTTCTAAACAAGCCCATGAACCAGTTAAAGCAGCTGACAGCAATGGAGGAAAATGTCCAGTGTGTCCAGAGATCTGTCACTCTTCCACTGATAAAATGACTGCTTTGATAACAGAGCTACCATCTGTGTTTCTTCAATTAATGGAAATTTCCTCCTCTTGCCCGCTCGTAGGCGAAGAGAACAATCTATGCAGTGGTCATAAATGCTGTTAGAGCACAATCAGTAATCAAAGTAAAGCTGTTTGGCTACTTTGTGACTGTACTGTAATAACCGTTCAACTCTTTAAACGTTGGGAGTGCCATCTTCGATTATGTGCAAATCAGAAGGAAGTGGTGGATGTCTGTAACAATTCTAGACTGGCCTGAAATAAAGAATTTTGGATGTTTGTATAAAATATACTGAGTTTTCATTATAAAATACAACGTTAAAAATATTGTAAACTTAATTCTTTTAGATCACCACTGTAACATTAAAAAGGAAAGAACTTTCAATAAGCAGTATAAAGAAAACTATGAATGCGAAATAACCGTTTCCACCCTAACAGCCTATTTCAAATGAATGAATCTGTCTATTCAGAATTATACATTTTTTTTGTTCTTGTTGGTTTGTTTGGTTTTTTTGTATTGACTTAGAGTACTTGACACTTTTTTTCCAATACAGAAGCTTTAATGTTTGGAACCATCTTGGTGTCTGTTCCCATCTTTTGGGGACAGATAATTCTATATATGTCTGGGTAATCTGTATATCTTTGCCTGTATGCCTGAATATCTGAAAAATGCTTGCTAAAATAATTCTTTAGAAGTAATTTTAAATATAGAATTTTAAATATTCTACTGAAAATAGATGTTATACAAATAGATTTTTTGGGGGGAGGCAGGTCTAGTAGAGGGAGCAAACAGAAGAATGTAGAACAGCATCATCCTGAAAGCAAGAAAGTGTCAAAAAAAAAAAAAAAACAGCATTTTTTGGTGACGGCTCCAAACAGGGAATATAGTTTATATGTCATTTTGGAAGAGGACAATATAAATAAATAGCTGTAATTTTCAAGCTCATAAAGTCTTAGTGTAGTGTACTTAACAATCTTTTCCCATTTCTTCTTCTGATTTTCAAGGTCAGTATCACTACTCTAGTACTCCTTCCAATATGGTGCACCACATTTATTTGTACTAGCATTCCAAAAGATAGAAAATCCCTGTGTGTTGTTTTCAGATTCTTTCAAATGGGTATTTAAACCCGAAAGACTAACTGTTTGGTGCAGGTGAAAAGCAAGAACTTAGAACATAACAGCTAAATTTATTTTGAAAAGCACTATTTAAAAGTACCAAACGATTAATAAAAGCATAAGCAAGAGGTTTAAAGTTGGCATTTTCCCATATTTTCCCCTTGATGCCTTTTTTCTGCATTATGTTGTCTATGTCTTTAGTCCAGCATAAGAAGCAATTCTGACTCTACAGAAATAGTTTTCCTCACTTCAGATCTTGTCGTCATATTTGCAGAACTTTATTAAAAAGATGTAAGCGAAAAAATAGATGGGCTGTATTCCCATAAAACCACCACAGCTGTAAAACTGTAGTTCCCTCCCTCTTGGTTAGGAATATATCTGTTTGTTTCCTGCCTGGCAGGTTGGAGCAAAGCTATTAAAGACAAGATCTAGAAAAGTTGGATTTCCCAGACTGTCTCAGAGGTAGCGCATGGGGAATGAGGATGCAGCTGAAACTGAGCTCTAGCTCTGATCTGCTTTCTAGAGGAGCTTGTCCCTCCGTTGAGAGCACCTAAGGGTAGTTGTCTGCCTATGCTAAAACTTCTGAATATTCCTTCTGAAATTCCACATCTAGACAGGTTGTCAATGACCACAGCACAGCAAAGACTAGAGTTTCTTTAAGGAGGTGTTTCCTTTCGGGAAGGCAGATTGAGTATCAGTCTATTTGCTGCAAAACATAAATTGATCCTAAAGCTTTTCTGTGCTTCGGAGAACAAATAGGGTTGTAGAGTTCCTGCAAAACTTGTAGCATGGCTGCAGCAATATACTGAATTTAGCTGCTTTAGTCTGTCGTAGGCTTTCCTGCCTGATTTTAGTTAAATCTGAAAGGGAGAAGTCTTTTTCGCTAGTCTGTATTAGCTGTTGACCTGAAGTATTTCAGTATTACAGTAAAATTGCTTGCTGTTTAACCCCCTGGAATCTGGAAACACTGATTGCATCGTTTTTCCCCAGCACGCTGTAGGAATTTTACTTAAAACCATGAGTTAACAAATGGAAACGTATTTTTAACATAGATAAGAAATCTGCTGCAATCTGTGCACACACAAATCCATTTTGCACATTAACGACCAGGCTTCTCTTATAAGCCTTATTCTGGCAGTGAATACTCACATAACTGATTTCTTCATAAATGGGCAAATCTCACTACTTGCAGTTTTTAATACTATTCCTCTTGACTTTGGAGAATGCATATTTTTACCTTCTAGAAATTCCAGATCCTAACACTTCGGTGGTATCATGGCAGTGATTTTACTTCTTGGTCTTGTGTTTTTGGTTTTGGTTTTTAGTCAGAAAAGTTAGCTGACTTCCTGTGACTAGTTCCTTTTAGCCCCTGGCTGCAAGATGTGGGCAAGGCTTTGCATCTCCCATGGAGTTTTCAGGGATCAAATGGATTTTTTTTTTCTTCAATGATTGAAACTCTCTGCAGGACAACACAATATTGAATAAAACTCTAATGGAAAATATATTTTCAAAGAATAACTACATTGTAAGCTATTTTTTGAATGGTTATTGGTGTTTTGATATTTCGGAACAAGTTATATTTCAAAATAAATTATTTATTGTATATTTTGACAATGGTAGTTTCTTTTTCACTATCTTTTCTTTATACAGTTTTGTATCTGTAGAATTTTGAGTCTTTTGTTTGTTTAAGATTAAGATATTAAGATTAAAGTTTTCTGCCCGAGTGCTTACACTCTTAGCGATGGAGGCCCTGCCGTGTCGGTTAGCAAAGCTTCTTCTGGCTTAAACGACGTTTTTAAAACTTTGTTTTAAAACTCTGTTGCCGAAGATTTCAAAGCAGTAATGTTAATTTTTCATTTTACATTTGAATTCTCCATTAGAGTAATTTCCTCTTAACATGTTAATTTTGTTGCTGCAGATGAAGATGGAGAGGGAAGATGTCAGTGTTTGCGTAGCGCTCCTCCGAATTCTGTCCATTCCAAGAAAGCAGATCCTGGCTTTCTTGGGAGGATGCCCAGCCTGGTATCAAAACAAAATACTGGAAATGAGTAACAAAGTGCTGTAGCAAGTATCATCCTGGGGCCAATGTTTATTCCTGTACTTAGGCACGTTAGTGTTGTGCAATATTTCAATACCCTAACTCACTTTGCTCTTCCAATATGCACCCCATGGAGCTGTTCTGGGAGCCCACTGGATGCCCTGTTGCACTCTGAATACAGTCAGCTTGGCTCAAGTCATGGCTAATACTGATCCTGCACAGGCTCTCACAGCCTGAGGGAAACGTAGTGAGAGAAGATTTTTGTTATGTTTGTGTATTTTTTAAGGGTAAGTAAGTAGCACATGCCCTGCAAGACCTTTAAAGGGAGATGTGCGGCACTCGAGTATATGAGCTTGCATAAGGCGAGCAGCTGACCTGGATCAGATCAGGCCTGTATGCAGAGCTTTGGAGCTGGCCTCAGAAGCAACAGGGTGAGTACCAGTTACCTGCCTGCATGGGGAGGGAGGCAGCACAGGTTTCCAGCAGTGAAAGGTAAAATTCCTCATTTGTATCTTAGTCTCCAGCATGTTTCGATCATTCTCCAATGTTAGGAAATCCTGTTACGTTGGACTGTGTGTGCAACTCTGTGAATAAGCAAGTTGTTCCATATGTCATTTTTGACTGTGGCTTTGTCCAAAACAATTCTTGTGTCGCTAGTAGCCGTTCCTGTCGCTCTACCCGAATCTGTTTTCTTGGGGCAGTGAAGTTCTAAGCATTGTATATTCACAAAGTTCTAGTGATAAAAGAAATAAACGCGAAGGCCCCCTCAGGGTGCTCCATGCAGCCTGCATACTCCCGC